ATTAAATAAACACCGATTTTAATGTAAAGGACGGAATTGTTGGACCATAAATAATCTTATAGTTAAACCGGATAATCCAATTTCACATGGTAATTTTTTTTTAAGAAAAAATATTCTCTTTGCTCTTGCTATTTGACCCCATATGAGGAATTGAATCTTGGAGACTTGAAGGCTCAAACATAAATATAGATACTTGTGGATTTAGATTGATACATGAAACCCTTGTTCGATATGAAGTCAGTCTAATTGATTGATTCAATATAAAAAATGTAAGCTGAAAATATTTAGGCCTTGAATGGTAGGAATTTTTAGAATCCAAAAACCAAAAAAAATAACATTCAAGTTTTTACAAAATTACTTTTCCTAAAAACTTGGAAAGCCATTTTAGTGAAAAAATCAATGAAAAACTAAAAGCTACTTTTTTTGAGTTGTCAAATATTATAAAATCCAAAAGCCAAAAACCAAAAACTAAAAACCAAAATCCAAAAACTAAAACCAAAAATCCAAAATAAAAGCCATCTCCATTCAAAACCTTAATTTTACAATGGTCAAATAGTTGTAATTCTGATTAGGAATCGTCTATGAAGAGGTTTCATGTTCGAATAGAGCGAATTGGGAAAATGATGCAATTTGTGTTAAAATCTATCTCCGGATCTTAGAATGATTAGTTGGATTGAAGGTTGAAAACCTCCTAATTAAAAATAATAAAAATAAAAATTGTAAGATTAAGATGTACTTTATCAATTATCACTAATTAAGTTTGGGCCTTAAGTTTAAGCTCACCAAATCCTTTTCGGTTTGGCCCAACTTCAATCTTAGACCAAATCCTAAGGTTCTCCACTCGTTTCCAGCGCCCCATCGTACACCATATTGAGAAAATTGCTATAAAAAAGGAACTCGTATATAATAATTCTACAATAAACGAATAAAATAGAATTACATACAAAAGTTTTACAAGTGTCGGCGTCCGGTCAAGTGAATTATCCGATATTACCTAATCGAATAATTTACGTTCCAACTTAGATTTATAAATAGAGATTAATTATCTGTAAATAAAATTTACTAACTTCACGATTGGATATTCGGACATAGTTTCAAAATAATCTTTGTGTTTACTGAAAATTACGAAGTAATCCTTGGTAATCGATAGAAATTACGGCGACGGCGCGGAAAAGATCACACTGTGCAGAGGAAATGATAATGATAATAATAAGTAATTAATGAGAAAGGTGGAGACACCGATGGTGAAATGTTGTGGTGATGGAGTCCATCGATGGATTAAAAAAATAAATCCGAGAGAGGGGAAGAGACGTAAAAATAGAGATGTAAGTGAAAGAGAGAGAAGAAAGATATAATCCAGTTTTTTTTTTTCAATTTTTATTTTTGTTTTAGATTTTTATTTAGTGATGCAAAAAACGAAGAAGAAATCAAAGATAACTTGGTTTATGAAGGAAAAAAAATGAAAAACAATTTAAATAAAAGTTATAATTCACTTTTTATAAAAATATCATGTTTTATCTATTTTTAAATTTTATTAACTAATATCTAGTTAAATCTAAAAAAAATCTAATATGTGACAACGATAAAGGTGGAAGTTATTGTCAATGCAACTAGTACGGATAAGAAGCGGTTTTCCAGAGATCACTAGACCAAAGAAACACGGATGAAATGAACGCACACCGAAATAAGAGAGATTTAATGGTTATCTAAGTATAAGACTATATAGTCATCGTTAATCTAAAAGAATTGATTGAGTTATTCGTACAAATAAAGTATATCTACCTACATCTACCTCATCGGTTTGTCTATCCTGGCACGGGAGAACTCCAAAGTTAAACGTATTCGTTTTGAAGTAGTATAAAGATGAGTGATCTCCTAAGAAATATTTTTTACGATGTATGTGTGGGGACAAATTACGATGAAAGATCTCGTATGGATCGGTGAGATCAGTTTCAACGTTCCATAATATTTTCAAGGCATTACACAATCATTATAAAAAAAATCTAAAATGATCACATAAAAATTGCTTAATATAGTTTTGAAAAACTCTTATATAATAACTATCTCTACTTTATAAAATATACTGAATAAATAACTAAACTTTTAATTTTATCAAGCTGATATCTAAAATGTTAAAATATTTTAAACTGATATCTAAAATATTAAAATATTCTAATCAATAACTTAACTCATGAAACTGATAGTAATTTGCAATCTCTCGACTCTAACGACAATGTATATATGTTAATTTTTTAAATAAAAAACAAATCGATATTGTAAATTGTTTTCAATTTAGTGAGTTGATTTATCAATTTAGAATATTTTAATATTTGAGATATCAAATTATAACATTTTAACATTTGAGTTATTAATTAGATCAAATTAAAAATTTAGATATTTATTTGACATATTTTGTAAAATTGAGGTAATTTTATGGGATTTTTTCTATAGTTTTATGCTTTCATTTTATTTTCAAATTGAACAAAAAATCGTATATTAACACAAATTCGAAAAAAAAACTCAAATAAATATATAAATTTTAAAATTTTCAAAAAATGTATAAACTCTTCTTAACTTCTTTATTAAAACCTAAACTCTTCTATTATAGATAATAGAAATTATGCACACAATTCAAATAATTTCTCATTTATATAGATATTATTGAGTTTTTTTTATATTGATACCATATTAAACAACAAAATGATATTCATTTTTTACAAAATGAAAAGAATTCATGAAAATATATTCTAGAAGGCACATTCTGTAGAAGTTTCTTTGACAATGCTATTTAATTTATGGTAAGTTAAAACAATTACGAAGATTTTTTTTCCCCTCTAAAATATCTCTCCGTTAACGTTATCAAATTCGATCATAAGTCTTGAAGGTTTTAAATACAATTTTATTTTTTTCCCTAAGTTTTAATTATACCCAATCTAATTAGAGTACTATAACTATTGCGATTTTATTTTTTTTCCTACGTTTTAATTATCATATAGTGGTATACGCAATCTAATTAGAGTATAACTAGTGTGTGACGTGCATTTCCCTATATTTTATATTCATAACATACATACATATATATATATATATATGTATGTACATTCAATTTTTAATTAAAAGAGATTATAATAACTTATTAGTACGTCTTAGAACAGATGGAGTTTATTGGTTTTTATTAATGGTAGACCCAAATATTCAGCTGATTTTGTTAGATATCATCAAGACCCACTGTTTTTATTGTCAAATCTGGTAAATGTACAAATGCACATACCCCTATCAAATTTTTTTTTTTAAATAGTTTATTTTATATTCCAATCAATTTTCCGTTTTATTTGTCCGGAAATTTTTTTTTATAAAGCCTCCCATTTTGCGCATACATGTAATAATTTGAGTTAGCAATTTTTTTTATGGGTTGAATTTGAGTTAGTAATTTGGATGCAATTAAAAAAAAATATATTTAAACAATAGTTTTTTTAATTGGAAACAAAAAATTACTTGTCCTACACGTTACAAAAGTGTAGATGGGATATTTCTAAGTAGATCCAACTCGTTAGAAGCTTATGGCACAAGCTAGTGTTAATTAATTTTCACTAAAGAAGCAAGTCTACGTAGTTAAATAAAACCCTCTTTGATTCATGCATGTCCTAGAGTCCGCTCTTATGTTTTGTCCTGGCACCTCTCATCGTATTAGGTGGGAACCATTTCGATTTAAATATATAAAACATAATTCAACATAATAATATTACACAATTGTATTCGAATTAATTTTGAAAATCGATCCATCATCAATGTTTAAATCCAGATAATTTAATTCAAATGAAAATACTTTCATAAAAAAACTAGAATTATAAAACAAATATATTTTCATTTGAATTCAATATTATGTTTTAGTAAAAATTAAGTTCGGATGGAATCAAATCCGACTTCTAAATGGATATAGTATTTATAAAATCGAAGGAAACCTCCACTCGAGAAAGCTAAATCCAATCACCAAGCTAAAATATATCTTGGGATATATTATATATATCCGTTATTTGTTAGATTGTCCCACTGAAATCCATTATCTGTGTTCCTTCAATAGGACTTAAACTTTAATTTTGGAGGTAAATTTTATATATATATATATATATTAAGTTCTAAAATTATGATGTAATGATTTTCATGATTAGGATATAAGTTATCTGCAAATATAGAGAGATCCATATCCTGAATTTTGTTTTGTACAATGTTCGAATAAAAATAAGTCAAACTAACAATTACAGAATGAAAATAGCTCATAATAAATACAAAAAACTATATGCACATGTCACTTATTTTCCATCATGCATTAATTTGCTGTTAGAATAGATGAAGAAAAATGTAATATATAATAAAATGGAAAGAAAGTTGATGAAATCAGAAGAATAAAATTTAGATTCATTCAATTTTCAACCCATTTTTTAAAGAATAACATTCAATTTATTATGTTATTTAAGAAAATCGTTGTATTTTTTGTTCCACTATTTATTTTTCCCGAATCATAGAGTTGCGGGAAAAAAACTACATCTCATTGATTTCATCGGTTGATTACTATGTAATCCACATTATTTACCACGAAATTTTATTTACGGTTCATTTCCCAATTTTTAAAAAGTGTTATGGTTTTATAATTTTTTGTTGTTTCAACCGCCCTACTAATTCTATCCCTTTTCCTTTATTTTTCTTTTTTAATAAATTATTATAATCTTTTTTTTTATAATCATTATTATAATCTTAATCCATATCTTTTGTTTATCTCCAATCCTTACCTCGATACGGATTGCTAATTATGATTATCCTATTGTCTCATATCATAGTTTTGTATATGTATAGTTGGTATAATTCAATAAAATCACTGTATAATCGTAATCCTTATATAACGCTTGTAATCTTATGGTTATTAATTATTATATGGTTAAGTTGGGAATTCCAAGGAGAGGATCACACACGAAATCTTCCCTCTCCCCACAACCACACAAAAATATATTTCTCATGTCAACACCAAACAACAAAATCATGCCCATCTCTCTTTCCCCCTCTAGAGCCTATATATACACCCATATACACTTGCTTATATCTTTATCGTCTTTCTTTATATATATATATACACGACCAAACTCAGAGCATTCACCAATTCTCTCTGTCTCTCTAGTGCACATAGTGATGGGAGCGAGCGAACGGCGTCGTTTCGAGCCGATAACTAAATGCAACGCGGAGGATCGGTCGGACCAGACGGTGGCGGCTGATCTCGACGGGACCCTACTGATCTCCAGGAGTGCCTTCCCTTACTATTTCCTCGTAGCCCTCGAAGCCGGGAGCTTACCACGCGCGTGTATCCTACTCGCGTCCGTACCGTTCGTGTACTTCACATACGTCTTCCTGTCGGAATCCTTCGCCATCGACGTCTTCGTCTTCGTCACCTTCGCTGGCCTCAGGATCCGCGACGTCGAGCTTGTGACTCCGGCCGTACTTCCAAGGTTCTACGCCGGGGACGTACGGCCTGACACGTGGCACGTTTTCAACGCCTTCGGGAAAAGATACGTAGTCACGGCGAGTCCACGTGTCATGGTCGAGCCCTTTGCGAAGACGTTCCTCGGGGTCGATAAGGTACTCGGGACCGAGCTCCAGGTCACCAAATCGGGTTGGCTAACCGGGTTCGCGACCCGACCCGGGGTCCTCGTGGGTCAACGCAAACGCGACGCAGTTCTGAACGAGTTCGGTGGTGCGTTTCCCGATTTGGGTCTCGGCGTACTTCCAAGGTTCTACGCCGGGGACGTACGGCCTGACACGTGGCACGTTTTCAACGCCTTCGGGAAAAGATACGTAGTCACGGCGAGTCCACGTGTCATGGTCGAGCCCTTTGCGAAGACGTTCCTCGGGGTCGATAAGGTACTCGGGACCGAGCTCCAGGTCACCAAATCGGGTTGGCTAACCGGGTTCGCGACCCGACCCGGGGTCCTCGTGGGTCAACGCAAACGCGACGCAGTTCTGAACGAGTTCGGTGGTGCGTTTCCCGATTTGGGTCTCGGCGACAGCGAGACAGACCACGATTTCATGGCCCTCTGCAAGGTTAGTTCTGCCATTTCACGTGTCTTAATGACATCATTCTTCTTAATATGAGTACTTGACCTATTTGTGTTTGTACATATATATGGTAATTAATTACTTTCTTTCTAGTTATTCATTACCCAATAATATTTTACCCCGTATCTGTTGATTCGGTTGATTTTTATTTTATCACAACACAAGTTCTTCGTGCTCGAACCACCGGTCGGGTGTATATGTTCCTCATGTAATAATCATGAGGAGGGCCCTTCTGTTTTGTACGTTCTTCCTCTTTCGTCGTATAAAAAACTCGTACAGCATATGTGGCATATATGCATGCAAATGATGGATAAATATATAACGGTTGGAAATGCAGGAGGGATACATGGTACCACGTACAAAATGCGAGCCATTACCAAGAAACAAGCTATTGAGCACAATAATATTCCACGAGGGAAGATTGGTGCAGAGACCAACGCCGTTAACGGCTCTGTTAACTCTCCTTTGGCTCCCCATAGGTTTCCTCCTCTCCTTGGTCCGCATCTACTCTACCATTCCGTTACCGGAACGTTTGGCACGTCTCCTCTACAAGCTCCTCAGCATAAGCATGGTCGTAAAGGGTCATCCTCCTCCTCCGGCGATGCCACGTCAGCCCGGCGTTCTGTTCGTGTGCAACCACCGCACCGTGGTGGACCCAGTCATCCTCGGAACGGCCCTCGGCCGCAAGGTGAGTTGCGTCACCTATAGCATCAGCAAGTTCTCAGAGCTCATCTCCCCCATCAAGGCTGTTGCTTTGTCCCGGGAACGCGATAAGGACGCCGAGAACATTAAGAGGTAATGATATATACACACATTCCACACATCTGTTTCATTTTAGGTGATGTTTTGATCTATTTGACATATATTAAGAAAGAATTGTCTGGTTTACCTAATTCTATCTGACAAATTAGGGGAAATTTTGAAAACATTAGTATGTTTGCCAATTGCGCCTATTAGGACATTATCGTAATTATGTATGTTTAGACTTTAATTTAGGTTTTCCTGTGTATTATGTCTATAAAATATGTTATACATCGCACTCATGAAATACATGTAAAATATATTTCTATATGTTATTAAAGGCACAAAATGTCAAACAATCAAAGTAGAAACCCCAAATATATAATTACAATATTGCTCTTATGACTTCTTCGATTTTGACGCGAATTTTCTATACGCAAGGCACGAAACGGCTAACCGTCGAAACCCTAAATACATACAATTACAATAATACCCTTACAAATTCTTCAATTTCCCCCCTTGTTAGGTTGCTTGCGGAGGGCGATTTGGTTATTTGTCCAGAAGGGACGACGTGCCGGGAACCGTTCCTCCTCCGGTTTAGCGCATTGTTCGCCGAGCTGACGGACCGGATCGTACCGGTAGCAATCAACACGAAGCAGACAATGTTCCACGGGACGACGGTGCGTGGCTACAAGCTATTCGACCCTTACTTCTTGTTCATGAACCCAAATCCGACCTTCGAGATCACTTTCCTCGATCAACTTCCGGTCGAGCTGACGTGTAAAGGCGGAATATCGGCCATCAAAGTCGCGAATTACATACAGAAGGTTTTGGCCGGAACCCTAGATTTTGAGTGTACCAACTTCACGCGTAAGGACAAGTACGCTATGCTTGCCGGTACGGACGGTCGGGTCCCGGCAAAGAAGGACAAGGCGTGATCTCTGGTTATTAGAGACATTGATTACTGTTAAAGTGGGTGAAAACCAAGTTGGTTGGACGTTTTTTTAAGCTTCGATAAAAAAAAAAAAAAAATCGGTTGCATATTTGAGATTGGTCTTGTTTACGCTAAGTGTTTGTATTATTGTTGTGTGGAAAATTATGTAAAAGACGATAAATAACTATGGACATATAATATGCAATAAATCCAATTCACGTGACACGTACGTATGGGCAAATGGAAGCTCTATTTTTTTTTTTGTTTGTTGGACGACATTACGTATTTGTAATTATAAAATTCATTCCGTCGAGGCATCAAGACATATTTCATCCCTTCGTTCTTATATAAGACGGTATATGTATATGTTTATACTTATTTGGATATTCTTTTTATTTGAACCATCTATATCTAATAGATTACGGCCTATTCTTTCTTTCCCAAACAATCCGTTCTAGAAGGATTATATTCCCGGCAACATATATATATATATATGATATTTGAATTCTGATTATTATAACTTGTATGATAACGTTTAATCGAGATATCAAAACATAAATAACAAAAACATGTAAATTATTTTATATACGACTATTTGGTATATTAGTTTTTCAACTTCAAACAATAGTTCAACCGTTTTTACTTCAATTAGAAAGATAATAATAATAAATTACGGATTCAACCGTCATGATACCAAATTTAAATTTAGAATCGAATCAATTAGGCCGATTAAAAGATATAACTGAAACAGACATAAATTCGCTAAAATTTCCATGAAACTTAAATCATATTTGAACATTTAAATTGGATAATTATTTTTTTAGTCGTTAGAATTCATCGATATTTCAATCTAGTTTAAATTTGAATAAAAAAACTTCATCTTTTGGAAATGTTTTGGGGTCATTATTTTCATTTCTATTTAAAATTTAAAGAAATTTTACTATAGCAAGTTTAGATATTCCTTTTTTTTTCCTGGTAAAATGTTGTCCGTTGCCTTTGGTATTAGTTAAAATATTCGGTATATGTCCGGTTCGTCGATTAATTAAATGCGATCAAAGGGATTGACAGATACGTTACAGGAGACGATATATTCAAGTGAGCCACTAGGGCATTGTACTTTGTGTTTATTTTCAATGCTTAATTTATTAATTAGTGTTACATTAATTATTGAAGTCGGTCTATGCCGCTTTCTTTGTTAAACCTAACATTCTGCACTCTTTACTCGTGGAATAATTAAATCTTCCAATTAATGAAATTAGGAGGGGAAAAATATCTCTCTCGCCTTGATATTTCTATGACATGTTTTCATTGCTTCACCTTTCGGTTCCAATTATATTCTGGTTGCTTCTTTTAGGTTTTCTAAATGCTATATCGATTCAATGTCAATCTTTTTCGATTATAATTTGGTTCTCATAAGAAAAAAAAAATTCTCATTTTCTAAAAAAAAAGGTTAGGTTAGTTTGATTATATATTTTTATATTCCGTTCGCATACGTTTAATTTTATTTTATAAAAGACATACCAAATTTGTTTTGAAATCGGATTTGTTTTCATATGCGATTATTAATTATTATATTCAACTTTATATACATAAATCGAAATATCTATTTATACCTAAAATTGATTCATTCCGATTAAATAAAAAAAATCAAAAAAAAGGCCGATTGAGATTTCATGTTAATAATAAAAATAATAATGATGAATAGAAAATTAAAATGTTTTTTTTTTCTCACCCGATGAGACAATTCTTTTCTATGCTCAAACTCATTATCAATACGGTATATTAGTATGACGATTTGGATGATATTTAATGGAGAAATGTGTAGAAAATCGTTGAATTTTTTGTTATTTAATATAAAACACTATAATATTTATAGATAAAAGAATACAATCGCAAATATCATGTATATTAATATCTAATTAATATAAATATTTTAAATATAAAAATAAAATTAAATCTAAAAGATAGTTTGAAATTCTAATATATTCTCTATATCTATCAATAAACTTTTACAATATTATTATTAATAGATACGGAAAATATATAAGAGGCGAGGAGCCACCTAACGGACCAATGTGAATCCGTAGTTGTATGTGCCACTTCCGTTGTGTGTTTAAGGACTATTTATTATTCATTTTATTAATTAGTATGCCGTGGATAAACAATCATATATAGAAATAAATACACACTTTAGATAAATATAAAATTATTCAAATATAATTTTCTGAACTAAAACTGATGGACTGGAGGCTGTAACTGGTCTATATTTGTTTAGAAAATGAAATTTTTGTGTAAGGCCATGAGTAATATAATTTTCTAATGAACGCCGATTGACGTGCCCCTCTATTCTCATTCGGAAATTAATTATGGTTCCTTCTTCCCATGCATTAAAAAAATTCACATTTTTAACGGAAAATTATACTAATTAAATTTCACCACTGATTTTTTTTATAATAAAAAAAAGTGAGTTTCAAGAATCGAACGAGGGAGGCAACCGTGAACAATTTTGGGCCAATAAGTAATAATGGACCTTAGGCTTATCTGTTTGGACGATATTTTAGCCTTCAAATACGTTATGGTACTGGGCCACTTAGCTATTTCTTGTTTCTCATAAATGATACTATATTTTAATAGACAGTTTATAACTTTTATCACACGAATTTGAGAGATACGAATTCTTTTAACAATTCTAATCATATACCCCAGTATGTATACCATAGATATACGCAATGCATACTATATATTAATAATATATTATCATTAAATTAGTATTATTTCACAAACGAGGGTGATATAAATGAGTGATGATAACGGAAATTTAAAATGCCTTAACCTGTTTTAATCACTAATTTTTTAAAATGGCATTTAGATAATGTTTTCTGAAAACTATACCCTTAGATTGTTTATGTTATAAATGAAATAATTTCATCGCTTTTTTTTGCGTCAGTTTATTTTTCAATTAATTTCTTTTAAAATCTAAAAGAGAACAAGACAAACAACTTGTGAAAAAAGAAGAGTCACTCACGAAAATAAAACAAAATAGAAAAAAAGGTGGGCTTTTTTCTAATATGATTTTGTTTGGTTGTTCTTTTCCCTCTAAATAATTCGATTGCTAAGCATTATTGAGGCAATCTTTATTCGGGGAGGGGAAAACTCGTACCAGCAAATAAAAATAAATCAATCAATATTATCATAAAATAAAGCTGATCTCTCTTTTTAATATATTTGTCAATTAATGAAATATAAAAAACAAAAGAATGATCTATATGAACATTATTTTTATTACCACCCATTATATGATCATATAAAGGGATGGATCCATTTCAAAAGGTATGGGTATGCTTTTGTGTGGGTGTATATTTGTATATTATTTGAAATGATAACATTATTTCGTGTGATATTGTACAGAAAATATTTGAAAATATAAGATATTACAGATAATACCTTTGTTTTAAGTATACTAATTATAATTACAGATTTGTATTTTGATCGGAAATTTTATCCAAGTAAAAAGAACTTAAAAATATATTTAAATCAAAAGAAAATTATATTCATATACACACTCGCAGAAATGTCAAAATATATTTTGACTTAAAAAATTATATTTTAAATCGACTAAAACTCGAAATAAACAATTAGATTTTTTATGTTGGGTGGTGTATGTGTTATTAGTCCGTCCGAGGCATGAAGATTTTATGAAAATATATATATTTTTTTGTGTAAAGTTAGTCCAACATATACAACTTGCATATTAATAATATTTTCGTAAGAGCAATTCGGTTTTTAAAGCATAAATTTCCTAAAGTCATCCAACAACAAATGTGGAGGGTTATATACTATTGACTTTAAATTCTCACAATGACAGTAACGATTTTTTTTTTCAATTTTAATATAAGGTTTATAAAGAATGCGACCTTTAAAAGTCAACATACAAAAAGGTTGCATTTTTGGTTCCTTATAATATAAAAAGAATGGAGCTATATATTTATTTAATTAACCGACCGACCGTTTTTGCTAATAGGGAAGTGTTTTCTGTTATTGATAATGAGAAGAATACATCATAATATATAGCAAAATACAATAGAATATTCTAGGAATAATATCTAGGGTAAATTATAACAATATTAATGATAATATTATAAGAATAATATCTTCCTATATGTCCCCTCAAGATAAATCATCTATGATGAATTTAATCTTGTTACATAAAAACTAAAAACTGAAATTGTGATCGTATTAAACGAATCATCTTTTATGTGATGGTGTAGTCCAGACTTGAGTTGGTGTTGCTTGATAACGTTTGAAGAGCTTGAGAGTTGTATTCTCAGAGGCTGATGTGGCACGGATGTGCGGCGCATATGCGCGAGTTGGGTTGCGCGACAATGAGGTCGGCAGCGCAAAAAAAATTACGATGTGTATAGCGGCTAGGCCGGAGAAAAGAAAAAAAAATGGGCGCAAAAGCGCGACGCATAATGCGTGGTAGTCTAGCAGCGGAACAAGAGAAGAAAATAAAAATAAGTGACGCAAATACGTGGATCGACGATCGGAGTTTTCTAATCGAAAGAGGCTAATAGCCATGTTTAAAGAGCTTACAACGGCTAGGGTTGACGTCGATAAACGAACGTCGTCAAAAAAAAAAAAAGAATAGCACATTGCCTAGGGTTGACGTCGATAAACGAACATCGTCGTTTAAAAAAATAGCACATCGGCTAGGGTTGACGTCGATAAACGAACATCGTCGTTAAAAAAAAATCGCTTAGGGTTGACGGTGATGAACACCGCCGTCGGAGAAAAAAAATAGAAGAAAAAAAAGAGCAAAATAAATTTAAAACGATACTCAAGACGATGATACTATTGGATTTAGTACATCGTTGTCATCTTCATCGTCGCTTTCGGATTCGACCGACATTGTTGATGAGAAGAAGAAAAAAAAAATTAGAGCAAAAACCAGGCTCTGATACTATAATAGGGAAATGTTTTTCTATTATTGATAATGGGAAGAATACATCATAATATATAGCAAAATACAATAGAATATTCTAGGCATAATATTTAGGGTAAATCATAACAATATTAATGATAATATTATAAGAATAATATCTTCCTATATTTGCTCGGTGAAGAGTGTTCATAAAAGCGTGACAACGCCGTTTCATGGTTCATGGAATGGAGTTAAATTTAAAATCGATTCGTGCCACCTTTTGTGATCTTGGTGGTTTTATTTTCATGGTTCGGGATATTTTTTTTCCAATATATATATATATATATACACACACAATTCATTATAAAGGAAAGAATATAGTTAAAGTTAGGATTGGTAGAATTATTCGAAATCGATGGTCTTCGTTCTGAATGATGAATTCTGTAGCCATGGAGATATTTGTCGTATCGGTCATCAATGGCATCAAATGAAACCCACCAATCTTTTGTTTGAGGAACACATTCGCCGCTAATGTTAAAAGAAATAAACAAATACGCGCATACACACAAGTATTTAAAAACATATATATATATAGTATAATTAAGTATCCATTGAAATATTATTTTTTGCTAAAATTAGTTGTAAAATTTTTACCACATCCGATCATATATATATATATATATATATTGATTATATATATATATATTAAGTTCTCCTAGAATAATTTTAATTTAATAACAACCCATTACATTTGTACAGTTTCGTCCTATAAATTATTACAGTTTATGCATACAAGAATTAATTAAAAACATCTTACATTTCTTTTTAAATATCATCCGAGCATAAAAATATTATTTTTTTAAAGTTAAGGAGAATAGTTTTTATAATTATCGGCTTAAGATTCATTTAGAATAAATGAAGATATTAAGCATTAGATACTCCAATCATTATGGCTTTTTTTGTTTATGGTCTTTGACTTGGTCTTTGAGGTTAGTTTTATTACTTTTATATTTAATTTAGATTCTATTAGTTAATTTTAAAAATATTACATACAATATACATATAATTATTTATTAATTATACTATTTATTTTAATCGTTTTAAAATTAGAATTGAAATATTAATTTTTTTAATCAGTGATAGATTTTATTATTTTAACATAATTCCCAATGAATCATGAAGACGTGGCTTTTATACCATTTGGTTGGTTTTATGGTTTACTATATGCGAAATATTATAAAACTCCAACACGAAAAATAAAAAATATATATAAGAAATTATATAGAATATACATGGGTACATATTATTTGGAGAGACTAGTTGGTATATTTATCGATAGAAATCTTCTTCCCCAAAAATAAGAATTTTGGTAATGGAAAACTTTTTAGGTCTGATGCTAGAGTCTAGAGACCATAACCATATAATATTTATGGTAAAACTATTTTCGTCAAATTTCATAAAACGGCCATTAAGTTTTAGGAAATTATCCTTATTGGGTTTTCGTATAAATCCCTAAACTTATACCGAAATTATGATTTAAGGCCGTTTGTTAAATTATCACATTTAATGTCTCAATAATAACTAGCAACCCGAAATTTATCTCACATTTATTAAAATATTTAATTAAATATTCCAACCCAAATCACCTACTCAGTTAACTATATAGCTATGGAATAGAATCGGATAATTTTCTGAATTAACCACTAGATAAAGGCAAATTTTGAATGTTAAAAATAATCAGGCATTTAATATTCACACAGCAAAAGTCAAATCAAGCGATTGGACAAGACAAAACAAAACAAATTGTAACAAAAATTAAAAGTTCCAATGCATCTTTTATGAGACCTCTCCAATTCTAAATCAGCAGAAACTCGTTGTAACTGCAGAACTGCGACGCGTTCAAAACGCTATGCTCCTGCGATTTGGTCATGTACATCGATGACGGCATCCCTAAGAAATTGTTCGAAAACGCGTTCTGTCCAAAATCCGCAGACGCGTCAGCGTTCTCCTCGGCCAGACGCTGATGCTGGGCGGCCGCCCATGGGGAGAAAGTCGTGTCCCCTTTAGCGTCCGCGTTTGCGGCGGGAGGATCAGGGGCGTTGACTGTGTCGGTGGTGATGTCGTGGATGCTGGAACGGCGTTTGTCTTTGCCGCCATTGAGCTGTCGGATGAAATACTTCTGAGCGTGACTCGCGACCTGCGTTGGCGTTCGCGTCGTGACGAAATTGCGTGCAATGTTTCTCCAATCTCCTTTCCCATATTTCTTCAGACCCATTAAGAATTGCCTAAGGACACAAATATTCATTTAAAATTCATCATATATAATATTAAAAAATGTATATGAACTTTATTGTTACAAAGATATTATTCTGTATTACAAGTATTAAAAGCCAGGTTATCAACGCAAAATTGAGATCTACATGTACATTCGTATAAATTTACGCGTATACACACCAATACGTGGATTTATCAACTTTAACTATAAAAAAGAACATATATGCGTGTATATATATATATAGCATACGGGTACGACATATATGTATATACATATACACACGCACTCAAGATTTGACCAACTCAATTCGGAGATAAGTACATATAACATATACGCAGGCACAATACGCAAATCTTTCCCATCAATATACAAATAGAATTGTGTGTGTGTGTGTCGGTATATCTATAGTTGGACGTATTCTACGAATCCTGTTTGATAAAATACGTATGCATGCGAATGAGGAATGCGTCTCTTGTTAGCCAGAAAAAGACGTACGTACTTGTGTACTGCATTGCCAACTTAAACATTACTTTTTTTTTTCGAAAAATGAAAAAAAAAATCAAATTGTGCAGAAGCAGAGAAAAAAATAGAAGAACATTAGAACAGAACATAAACGTTGAACGAAATGTAACAAAAAAACACACATGTACATCTGACAGAGTTACCTATGTTCTTCCTCAGTCCAGGGAACTCCTTTCTTCCGCTCCTGCTCCGGCGTCCGACCACCGGAGCTCCTCTTCCCGCCGGCGAAGTAGTAGTAACCGTTGACGTTGAAGCTATTGTTTCCGGCGACAGAGCCGTCGCAGCCACCGCCTCCCCAATCCAACGTAAAGGAATCGGAGGCGTATCCAGGGATCGGAATCAGACCGGCTTCGATGTCGCTGACATCTTCTTCGAGCTCTCTGTACTGTTTGATCACATCTCCGACGGTTTTTCCGGGAAGCATGGCGGCAACTCTGTACCACCTGTCGGGAGTGTCCTTATCGAACAAAGCGAGCGCGTTCTCGAACTTCTTGTTCTCTTCTGCTGTCCAATTGGTCCCCCTGCTTTCTTGGAACAGCCAGTTCGATGTCTGAAGGTACGAAGCTGGTGACAGCACTTCGATTTCTCTGCTCATCGTCTGGATTTGTTTTCTGAAATCTGTAAAAATCTGGAAAAAGAGAATTTCGATTTGGGTATTCTGGTTCTCTCACTCTGAATTCAGGAATTGAATTCGAGAAAGAGAGAGAGAGAACAAAGGTGAAGATCCGGACTGGGAGATAATGGAGGAAAGGGTTATTCTTTTTAAGCTTTCAAAGGAGCATAAGACCAATATGGCATTTCAAATGGAATCTAAGGGAGATAAGCATAAACACAACGAATCTAAGGAGGGAGAAAAAGGGGGCCACTTTCCGAACCCTAGGGAAAATAAAAAAAGATTCGATCTCAGAACTTTGTCCGAATGCTTAAACCCTAGATCACTGCACACCCTTTGCCAGATCCAAACCGGTGAGAACAAAATTGAGCTGAATCAGAGCTAAATAAGTGGAACTCAGAAGAAATCTCGATGAAATGAACAGGAATATGACTGAAATTAGAAGATTAAGAGCTTGAAATCTGTGATTTATGCAAAATCTAGAGAGGAAAGCGAGGAACAGAGCAGAACCCAGATGAGAGAAACAGAGAAAATCAGGTGGGCTGGTGGATTGAAGCGGCGAGACCGATGAAAAATCTACTTTTTCTCTCTTTCTGCCTTTCCCGAAAAACAAAAGCACAGAGAGAGAGAGAGAGAGAGAGAGATCTATGTAACAGGAATGATGCGGAGAGATGAGTAAAAGCTGTCGTGCTCTGGTTGGTTGATGGTTTTTTTCCAGATTTAATTTTAATGTCTTTTACACATTTAACCCATTAACTGTAAGATCTAGCAGTAATACTTTGTTAAATTGTGTAAATAATTGATTTCATAAAAATGGTTTAGTTTTGTACTGTTTACATAATATATGTACAGTTTAGATATTAGTTAATATTCAGTTGTTAAATTAATGTGATTAAACTGTGATAATTATTTGTAATCTTGTAAAAGAATTATCGTATGTGTGATTTATGGAGAAATTACATTAGACGTTGTTACAAATTGGATTCCTCCTTCCAATACACAAACTCTTCCGAGTATAGAAGAAATTAATCATAATTTACAAATTCAATTATAATATTTAAAAAAAGTCGATCTTTAGAAAATCGAGTAAATTATAAACAAATAAAAAATCGAGTAAAATTGACCGCCATAGTCAATGCCAATTATTCCACCTCAAAGTTCGTACAATAATTACAAATTCAATTATATAACCCGAATTTTAATATGAGATTGGTTACACAATTCTCTTTTTCGTTACATTTTAATATGATAACCAAATAAAAAATCGCATAAATGAGAAAACGACATGTGTCGCAATTACACGAGTCAAAGATGGTGAGATCTGATTGGCTGCCTGTTTTATTTTATTTTTAAAAAAATTGTGCTTTTTCTCTAGAACCGTTGATTTTATTTATTTATTTATATGTTTGTTAGTATATTACCAATATTATTTAGTTTCATCAAATTAGATGGGGATTTTGCGGCTTAAACGTTTGGCCAATCATAGGCCAACGAGACAAAGAGACACAAACGAGGAACAGCTCTCATTGGCTGGTAAGATTTTAAGGTCGTTATAAGGGCAATATAGTAATTTAACAACTGGTGTTGACATTTAACCTTTTAGGGCACATGTGTTGTTTGTTTACTTGTATACATACATACCTTTTTCAATGTCACGTTAGTTTTCTCTCTCTCCTGTTTGTTTACCCAACCATTTGTCCACCACTCATTTAATCCAATAATCCAATTCATCTACATTTAATATTTAAAAATATATAAATTATACAATAATACAACGACAAAATCCCCAAATCATTCTTTTATCTTTTTATCCTATAGTTTCAGAAAAAAAAATACATGTACTAATTACTATATATAATGAATTGGCTGGGTTAAAATATTTAGATATATGCGATAAAAGCATGCTATGTGGTAAATGAAATCACTCCATATTTATAATAATATCATAAAAGATTTTCTGCAAATTTGAAAAAAAAAAGAATATAAGCAACCGAAATCAATAGTTTTAAAAGCGTGCTATTGGCAAGATAACCTTGGGGAAATATCAATAAGATATTTTGTAATCTTGGTTTTTCTTGGTTAAACCAAAACTATTTTAAATCAAGGAATAAAATAGTGCAGTAAATGTTTAATGTAATAATTATTATTATTTTGTTAAAGACGTTTAATGTAATTATTGTATGTCCGTATATGAACGAGCCATCAATAATCATGCTGGTCTCTCGGAGGACCTCAACTTATAGAATAAAATAATGGATGGTACTATATGATTATTTATTTATTTATAAGATATCCAAACCATATAGAGACTCAATATATTTAAAATTTGAAAAAAAAAACTTATTTAAAACATTTTAAATTGAAAAATCCACATTTTTTTGGGTAAAGGAAAAATTCACATTTAAATCCCAAGAGAAATATTTTGTTAAGAATAAATAATTTTACTTCATACTATAGTCATTTCTAATTATTTAAAATTTTGATGATATATCCAAATATCGAAACGAACATAGACTACATAAAATTTACATTTTACCAAAAATAAGTTTACGTATAAAAAAATAGGAAACGGTGTATGGTTTAATTACTAAAATGTACATAAATATAAAAACAAGGGGGTCAAATGTATATGATATAAAAGTACCAAAATATACGAATTCATGTGTTTTCTCACATTGTTTGCCAACATTGATAAATAACTACGTTTACATATTATCAACGAAAAAAGAAATTATATATTAACAGGACGATTATACCTAAAACATATAGTCAAAATATGATAATATTTTGTATATATAACTAAAATTAACAATAGTTAAATCTTGATTTTCGGTGGATCGTTTGGTGGACGTTTTAGTATTCGATTTGAAGATATGATATCGTTTCATATTTAATTGAATAAAAATATATTTATAAAATTGAATATCTCATAATCGAACCAAACAGAATAAAATAATTAAAAAAAAAACTCGAAAATCCAAAAGTATTAAGAAAATATACTTTTTATATACAAATTAAAAAAATTGAATCGATTCGAATCAAAATCGGACTGAATCGAATGCAAAATAATAACCGATTTATACAAATTTTTCTAAGATTGAATAATCTAAACCGAATAAATATGTACCAAATAATAAAATTAAACGTCCATCCTTATTTTTTTAAGCCCCATGAGACTAAGTTATGTCGCAAAGAGCCTTTACAAAATGTGGAAATTCAATAAATAACGAAAAACATTGAAAATTAAAATTTGTTAAATTACAATCTAGTATAATATTTTTTTCTTCATGACTATAATAATTTAATATATTGCTCTTATTTTAATAAATGTCAGAGTTAATTGTCTGCCACTCACGGCCAACATACGATTAAATATATATATATATATATATATATATATATAATAAAATAAAAAAGAAAGAATCTCTTATTAATAATGGTTGTAATAATATATTATTGTTGTTGTTATTATAGAGTTTCCCCAAAGGGAAAGAATCTCTTATTTCCAAATGGGGACACGCTTTTTTTTTCCTTCTTCACCGGTAATATCTAATTAGCTATTGTATTAAAAATCGGGATAAGTAAATATGCATATAAATATTATTTATTTTATTACCATTAAAGATTTGTAATCATTTATAGATTTTTGTCATATATTTTGAGTGTTAGATAAATTACAATCGGTTTGGTGGAAATCATATCCTGTCCACCGTGGAAACCCGAAATTGGTAAATTCCTATCTTATTTTTGTATTATTTTTTCCACTTGTAACAATCAGATTTTCCAATGTATACAATCTAAAATAAATACGTACGTATAAATCATGCATACAATTTATATATAAATTTTATAGAAAAATTCGGACTATTTTTCGTTATGAATTGTGAATAAAAGGATGAATAATATAGAAAAATTGAAGAATAAAAAATACACATGTTAAAATAATTGTTTTAGCGTTTGAGGTTATGCTTGATATTATAAAGTATTTAGATAGATTAATTATAAGGAATTAAAAAATTATTGGGAGGTGGGTCAGAGAACACAACTTGGAAATAAAGAAAACGAAAAATAAATAAATAAATAACAAAAAGGCTTGGGGGGGAAAAACGACACGAAGTTGGGAGAGAATAGGGAGCAGTGGCACACAGTTTGACCCACAGCCAGCACAAGTGCGACTGCGAGCGTGCCCGTGGGCCTTCCCCCCTTTCATAATGCGCTCCACACGCTTTTGTCATTAGTGGCTTTGCACAAATCATATTCTTATTTTATTTTATTTCTTTGTTTTGCAAAATATTTTATTTTATTTCTTTGGCTTATATATCTATCATATGCATATATGTATAAATATGCGTACATTAGTATATACATATATATATATATATATATATCTAGTTTGCTTTGCTTAACTATCTGTCTCTTTATCAAAAAAAAAAAAAACTATCTGTCTTCAATTTTTAATCTTCGTAGTTCTATGCCCGTATTCGATAATCGATACATTAAAAAAATAGTACAAAAAATAATATTAAAATAAAAGGAGAGTTTGATTTGTTAAATATATATTAATATTATATTTTTATATGAATTATTTTTATAGAAATAATTTGTCATATCCGCGTTTAATGGTTGAAATAAGTGATGGTTGCAACATTTTTCTTAATCATATTTATCGTTGAGCCGGATAATATTATAATGAATTATTTACTATAATTTTTAAAAAACATGTTAGAATTGGAAAATAATATGTGAGACAAAACTCGTGATAATATGTTAGAATTGAATCAATAATAAAATATACACAAAATTTCAGAATTATATCAATCAGGAATTTGTAAGTTCGGTTAGACGTGGGCGGGTACATAGACTTTTTAAGATATCTGTTCTCATTTTCAATCTCGTCGGGTTATTAGAAAAAATGTTTCAATCTTAATTTAGTAAGATTCGAATAGCTGAATCTCAAATACTCACGACACAAGATTGAATATCTACAAGATCCGAACTCGTGATTGCTAAATTACAAAATTGAAATAGATCATATATAATCGAATGTTACAAATATTTCATATAAAAATCATATAAATTTGATCCAACATCATCCAAAATATGTAAATTCGAAGATGAATTTATAATATCATCCAAGAAAAGAGAAAAATAGAATGTCTAATTCAATTAAATATAAATATGTCTAATTCAACCAACATAAGCCGTCATGAAATACCAAAACTCGAATTTGAATCCCAAACTCAGATTTTTCATCTCATAGAATATGACATCAATCTCATTAACTCGCACACAATTAAATTCGGATACCACGAGATAGAATACCTTGAAACCTAAGTTCTCGGTTAAAAAGGTCCACCTCTATCTACAGGAATTGGTTGGAAAAATTCAAGTTGAAAATGAAATCTACATAACACATTACATTGTATAAAGTTTAGGTATAATTTTCTATTAGATCATTTGAAAACAAAAAAATAGTAGTAATAAATATATCGATATTTAACATATTTTGATCAATTAGAAACATATCGATTGCATGTTCTTCCTTTCTAGGAATGTAAAAAAACAAAATTAAAATAAAATTTATGAATATTCTTAATTTTGTCTAGGGAATCATGAAGTTTAAAACTCCAAAAATTATAATTAAAAATTAGTAAACCAAAACCAAAATAGATAAGAAAAGATGGTAAAGAAGTAAACTGAATAATTGGAGCGGATGAAATGTCGACATCGAAAGCACAAATGCATCTCCCATTCCCTATGAGGTCGGCTCAAGGTCAATGTCAAAAGCCATTTTCCCCCCTTAAAAGAGGCCAATTTTACAATACAAAAAAAAACCCTTTAATTTTTATTTATTACTCGTTCTTTAATCCTTAACCCATCTCCTAATCATTCATATTATCCTTAATCCTGGTAATTATCGCCTTCTTAATCTAACCCTCACGGCACATGGCTGTCACCTTATCTATAAAATATCTTCTACGGCTGCCGGACATTGAATATAAAAGACTACGGATTTATATTTCATGGGTCGTCAGTCCATGTAGCTTAATATAAAAAAATGCTTATGAAAATATAACCGCATGCATTTCATTTAATTAATTATAAAATGTTTTTAATACAATATCCGGTCTGTTATTCAAGCCTTTTTCTTTTTTTTGTTTTTGTTTTGAGCAAAACCATTCTTCTCCTTTGCTCAAAAAAATAACAAATCTCACGTGAAATATGATTATCTCTCCATTTTAGGTTTCTTCTTTTTTTCCCCTCTCATTGGTATTTGTCTTTGTCCGACGTGGCATCTTTCATGGATTCATCAGCACTTGGGAAGATCGTTCGGTGGCGGCAAAACTGATTCGTTGGGTCCTTTGCCATTCTCCACTAAGAACGCCATCTTCAACCCCCACGTCGTGTGAACCTCCAAGTGACAATGCATGAACCAAACTCCTAAAACACCACAAGATTCATTTAATGATCGGAACTTTGTCAAATTTTGATCATGATATACGGGTATTTATGTATACATATGTACATTCACATACCGGGATTATCAGCTCGGAATCTGATCGCCACCCAACCGCCTGAGGGCACACCAATGGTGTTCCTCTCCACCGGGTCATCAAGATTGAAGCTTTTCGGGTCTTTCTTGGGGTTGAAGTTACCTATTCCACGACCCACTTGAAAGAAATTGAACCCATGTAGATGCACCGGATGATTCTCCGGCGAAATGATTCCTGTGTCTTGGAGAACGACCTCGACCGTGGCATTGTACGGAAGCTTGTAAAGCCTCGTGCCCTTCTCCGTGGCCAGGTTAGCCGGAGGAGAGCCCGTGTAGTTGTAAACATGAGGCGGGTTCTTTGGAAAATCAGTCGTGAAGACTCCGCTTATGTTGAAGTAATGGGCTTGGAGCAAAGCCGTGGTCGGCATCGTGAAGGTAACATTGTTAATGCTGGCGACCACTCGGCTTCCGTTAGCGGCTTTACAGGTCGGACAAGGGTTGACACCGAGGCCAACAGTGAAGAAGAGGTGGTGGTCTACTTCCTTGGGGACCAAGGCAGGGTATTTCTTGGAGTTCAAACTACGTAACGAGTTGGTGAAGTTGTTGGAGATAGCCGTAGAATTCTGCGGCGGTGGGAGGGTTAGGACTGTGGCCGAGGAGGAGAGAGTGCCGGAATAGTGAACGGTTGCGGTGGCCGTGACGTTATCCACCGCGATGGGCGCGTCCATGAAGGGCGAGACCGTGACGAGGTATTTACCGGCGGATTTAGAGGCCGTTAGGAGGACGTTAGTGGTTTGACCCGGGGCGATGAGTACGGTGTCTGTCTTGAAGGGTTTAACGTAGAGGGCGTCGACTTCGACCACCGTTAGAGAGTGGCCGGCGACTTTGAAAAAGAGCTCTTCATTGAGTGCAGCGTTGACAAGTCTTAGGAGATAGGTTTCACCCCGCTCCACTGATAACTTGTAACCTTCGGACACAAACAGAGTGTTTCATAACCGGTTGGAATACAGGGGAAAAAAAGTTAAATGTTACGTAAGAAATGTATTTACCCATGGACGAGGGACAGCTCTTGACCGGACCGGAGTGACCGTTGATGGTGTGAGCGTCCGAGACATTAGGGGCTAATCCCGACTTAAGTGCTTCGTTAATCACGTTTTCGGTATCCGATTTCCACCATTCACCTGCCACCACAGCACACGAATCCAATACAACCATACTTTATAATCATCAATCATCCCAAAAAAAGCATATTATAAGAGATAAATATTTGTATCATCTTGTGTAATTATTGTAACGTACTTAGAACGATGGCTTTCTCGTGGTCGGGTTTGGGGAAGGGGTAAGGGACGCCACGTTTGGGGAGGATGACGAGGGCGCCGTGGACGGTGGCTCGTAGCCACAGGATGTGGGCATGCCACCATAGGGTTCCCCGTTGACCGGTCAACGTATAGTTGTAGACGTATACTTGACCGGGCTGGATCGGACACTGCGTTATGTAAGCAGGCCCATCGGCCCAACCCGTTCTCAACTGCCTCACACCGTGCCTGCTCGGCCCATTTTAATCAATAAAATTCAACAGTTAACCCTTTTAATTAATGGATGGATTAATTTGTTAATCGTTGCATGATTAATTACCAGTGGATGGAGACGTTGTACTTGACGTGGTTAACGACCTTGATTAGCAACGTGTCGTCTTCTCGAGCGTAGATTGTGGGCCCCGGGTATCTGCCATTGACGGTCACGATTGGCTTGCTCGAACACAGCCTCGTTGTGTTTTTCATCACAATCTGTGAAAATATATATATATATATTTTTCCCGAAAAAACATATTTGATTAATATTCATTCAAGGCAATGCGTAAGTGTCGATTACCGTGTTAAATCATTTTATTGTAATCCGTTCGTATATACACACGCGTTATGTGTATATGCATACGTATGAACATTTCAAGAAAATGTGTATGCTTTGCCGAAATAAATCATACACATCCATGATTCATATATGCAAATCATGCAATGATGAAGAGTACATATTATACACACATATGCATGCATGTATAAGGGGAAGAAAGGAACAAGTAATATACACATGCGAAACTATTTATATAAGAACAATAATTACTAGTTTTCTAATTAACGTGTGCATGTGTATACATATATGTTATTTGTGTTTACATAAATACAACACATACGCAAAACTCACTCATCATATATATATATATAGAAGCGTGGATACACATGTATGTACTCACATTAAACTTGTAATGGCGAACCAAACCCTCTGTCAGAGAGGGATAAACACAGAAGAACGATACGAGAACCAGAAATCCGACTCGGTAAAGCCCCATCTCTCTCTCCCTCTCTCTCTCTCTGTATATGCGTCTCTCTCTCTCTCTATATATATATATGCGTGTCTGTCTCTCTCTCTCTCTGTCTTCGTTCTCTGTGTTATCTCTCTCTCTCTCTCTCTCTCTCTCTCGCTGTGTTGCATGAATGACTGGCCACCGCAAGCTTATATAGTGGTGGAAAGAAGGAGGAGACGACGTCGTTTTAGGTGGTAGGTCGATCTGAAGCCAATTCTTTGAACCCAAGATTCCCCCTTCTTACCAAAACCAATCTCTTAGACCAAATGTCAACAAAAAAAACATAATATATATATATATATATGTTTATAATATGGGTTTACATCTAATTCCCTTGTTTAATCTCCCTTTCAATTATTTCTTTTCTTGCATGTCACATAAAGTGTCCATTTTCCTGCAGTTACAGGTTCAGTTTCAGCAAATAATAACATCATAAAGTCCAAAAGCCCGCACATTAACTGCTGGTCAATCCCAAATTAATGTGATATGTTGTCAGATGGAACCTTCGATTGTGAGTGTATATATGTTCGTGTAAACTATGATCATATTAATTTATGACAATACACTCAGTCGTGAATTATCTATTTTTAGAATACTTGCATATGAGATTTAATCTTAGGATAGGATGTCATTTTAAATTAATTACTAGTGTAACCTGGTTACTTAGTCGTTTTACCTTTACCACGAAGTTTTTTTTTAACATGGTTTCGGTTCAGTTATTTTCAAATTTTAAAAAATTATATTAATTCGATTTTTATATATAAAAAATCTCCAATTTCATTGAGAATTTTTGTTTTCATTCGATATGTTTCGGTTCTTCTTGTATAATCGATTTTGAAATAGAATTTATTTAGAATACAATGTATTAATATCTTTATCCATGAAAATATATCTTCTTTAACTGTTAATAATTGACACACTAATTTTACAGACTCACGTAATAAAATAAAAGACTGACACATTTAACGTTATTGATTTTATTCAATAGGCTTTAGATTCGGTTTTTGATCAATAGATTGAGTTCGAAAGGTCTAAACCAACAGCTAATGGTTTACATGTCAAAATTTCCCCCAACTAATAATTAATTAAAAGAAAAAAGTGTCATAAAACTACATTTCCATCACATTGTAATTGTAATGAGGTGAGATATATAAAAATATAAATCGGATATCCAAACCCCATATTCCATTCTTTCGGATTTTAATATTTGAAATTCGATTTTATATATCTAGATCTCAAACTCTTGAACAATCATATCCGACTATCTCGGATATCTGAAAAAAATCATATATCCGAATCCAACTTTTTTATAAAAAAAATTAAATAAATTTTGTTTTATTAAATATTAAGGATTTTTGTAATTAAAAAATAAATATTTTTTTCGTGATTTTATAGAACAAATATTTTTCATTATGATAATATTGGCGAGTATTAAATTGTGAAATCTAAAATTCAAATTCAAACAGATAATCTAAATTCGAACCCGAATTGTTTGGATATCTAAATATTGAATATTTTTTTGTTTATACTGATGTCAAATGATAATCATATGAAAAAACCATTATCCTCGTAAAATTATAAAAATCATATGTAACCCATTTTTGTTATTAAACTTTAACTATGATTATTTTTCTGAAATCTGAATGATATGACGGCTATAATTTCTATTCATTCACTATGGTCATTATAATAAAACTATGAAAATTACGATAAAACTGTAATTCCTTTCTAGAAGTTTTGTAACGTGCATATATATGTAATGCTTCAACAAAATTAAATTTAAAGGTCAATCAAATGTCACCTAATTGACATTACCTAGAAAAACATGCCACATAATAATATACTTAAATAAACGTCAGCGATTGGCTAGAAGAATTTCAAAGATGCAAAATTCTTTACTTTTATTTTATTTTAATTCATCACTTTTGTTTTATATGACGATATAGTGTTAGAACCATATATCGGTCAACACCAAATATATATATATATATATGCTATCGAAAGAGACAAACATGTATAATTAAAATGACCACAAAACTTAAACATTGGAAAATGTGGATGGTCAATGTCCATTTTGGTATCATATACACATCTTAAAACGGTCGAAATGCACCTTAATTCTTCTTGTTCCACCTCATAATATATATATATATACACACACACACACACATATATAAACACATACACATATAGACTTAAACTGGACTATTTCATGCATGAATATTAATCTAAATGTAATCTCCCCTCAAACAACTAATAACACTTTTATCTCTTTCCACCTTTTCATTCATGCACACATACATACATACATACATACATACATACATACATACATACATACATACATACATACATACATACATACATACATACATACATACATACATACATACATACATACATACATACATACATACATACATACATACATACATACATACATACATACATACATACATACATACATACATACATACATACATACATACATACATACATACATACATACATACATACATACATACATACATACATACATACATACATACATACATACATACATACATACATACATACATACATACATACATACATACATACATACATACATACATACATACATACATACATACATACATACATACATACATACATACATACATACATACATACATACATACATACATACATACATACATACATACATACATACATACATACATACATACATACATACATACATACATACATACATACATACATACATACATACATACATACATACATACATACATACATACATACATACATACATACATACATACATACATACATACATACATACATACATACATACATACATACATACATACATACATACATACATACATACATACATACATACATACATACATACATACATACATACATACATACATACATACATACATACATACATACATACATACATACATACATACATACATACATACATACATACATACATACATACATACATACATACATACATACATACATACATACATACATACATACATACATGGAATGCTTAGGAATGCTTAGGAAACAAGAGAGAGAGAGAGGAGAAATTGTTGAGAAATGGCTTTCATGTCGTTGTTGTTCTGATGGAGCAAACAATAAACCCTTTTTTGGTTTTGTTTCAAAGCTACGACTTCAAAAAAAAAATTCACTACATAAAAAATTGAAACGACGCCGTTTGGTTAAGACTACATTGATCCAAAAATGACGTCGGACAAAAGAAATGAACACTGAATTTTGGTCAAATTTAGTTAAATAATCTTTTATCTTAAATATTGGAAGATTTGATGAGTTTTATGGTTAAAAAGGGCCAAGTGTCAATTTCCTCCTTTTTGTTCTTTAATTTTAACAACAATTTAATATTCTTTTTTCTTTTTGGTAATATGATTTGAATACTCATCCGGTAATTAAATAGATGACATGTTCTCAGTTATACCTAATAGGAAAGACACATTGATTTAGGTTGTGTTCCGATTATTTCTGATTCAAATTTCAATTTTATAAAAATTATTTCAATTTAATTATTTCCTACTCAACAATTGGGTCTTGCAGACAATTTGAGTTTTAAAATGTGGTCAAATAAATAAATAAAATGTTTTAATGAATTTGATGCTAGAAAAGCCTGAAACAAGGCTTGGGCTCAAAGGGGAGAAAAGCCCAAGCAAACCCGCAATATGGTGGGTCTGATTATTGGGCTCAAAAGTGCTAACTGGCCCACATGATATAATATCACATGCAATTACAACTTCTATATGTAATTATTTGTCATCCTTTATTCGTCCAAGAGTAACATACCCTATATATATACATACATATATATATATATATGTGCATTTTATTATATTGAAATTGAAATGTTATATTATATCCACTAAGAATGCCCATAACAAAAGAAAAGATAACGTTGTTTACAAAACTTGAAAATTTGTGAAATCCAAACATGAATTGGTGTGAATGAGTTTCTCATCATTTAATTGTCTTACCATTTGGAGTTACTGTTTTGCGTATAATTTCTATATATACGATACATGACGAAAACTAGAGCATGTCAAATTGCGTCGTGGAAACATAAACAAAAAATTCTTATTTTATGTTTTATAAGTTTCGATTTTTTCTAACTAATATAACCCTATATTTATTTTTATACTATCGCATATTTCCAATAGAAATCTAGATTTATACGTCCAAAAGAAATCATGTTTTAATACAAATCTCTGATTGGTTTAGTAATATAAAATAATGATTATTTCCAATATATTACTTTAATTAAAACTCGTTGGCCCGACATTGTTTTAGGAATCTTTTAAATTTGAGACCGCAAGAAACTAGTTTTTATTTTTTAGAACTTATGTATTGATAATGATTATATATATCATGAGGTACAAAGTTTGTGAACAGAAATTGTGTTACATTGATTTAAGGTTAATACCGAAATAATAAACACAAGTAATGGTTGCGTTGACCTGCGAGTCACTCTCTCAGTCTTAGGGCTTCGGTTCTTCGGAACCGGACCGAACCGAACCGTTAAAACGGTATTTTTTCCGACCCGAAACCATTGTTATTTCCCGAACGGTACCATTTTTAGAGAACCGAATTTTTTCGAAACCGAACCGAACCGAACTTTAAAAATCCCGAAAAACCGAATATTTTTAAAGGAAATTTATCATTTTTTTAATAAAATCGGAAACCGAACCGAACCGATACCGAAACCGAACCGAACCGAATACAATAAAAAACCCGATTGGTACCTATTTTTGTAAAACCGAAAGAACCGAACCGATTTATTCTGTCCCGAACCCGAACCGTTTCCCGAAACGTCCACCCCTACTCAGTCTCTGCCAAGTCAACGTCTGTGATTTTTGCTTACAAGATGATCCAACTCTATTAATTAAATTAAATATTCAAGTATCATTTAAATTAATCCTCGCATGCTTATGGACACACATACATATTATATATATATATATATATATATATATATATAATCATATGGTTGCACATTTAATCCATAACATATATGCAATAGTTTTATTCGGGGAATTTAATTAAATTAATCAAATTTAAAAGAATGATTTGAGGAGGATTTAAACTAGGGGTGGACGTTTGGAAACGGTTCGGGTTCGGGAAGGGAATGCATCGGTTCGGTTTTTCGGTTTTACAAAAATAGGTACCAATCGGTTTTTAAATTATATTCGGTACGGTTCGAGTTCGATACCGGTTCGGTTTAGTTTTGATTTTTATTTAAAAAAAGATAGATTTCTTTTTAAAAAATTTATTTTTCGGGATTTTTTAAAGTTCGGTTTGTTTCGGAATTTTTTAAAGTTCGGTTCGGTTTTGAAAAATTCGGTTCTCTAAAAATAATATTATTCATGAATTTAAAATCGTTCAGATCGAAAAAATAAAAAATACCGTTTTTTCGATTTGATTTGGTTTTTTAAAACCAAACCGAAACGGTCACACATGATTTAAACAATGCATTTGATACGAAAACGTTGAAAATTTGAAAGGAAGACTTTTAGTGACTGTCTTTCCCCAATATTCGTATTTTGAAAACAAACAAACAAACAATTTCGAAGATACTTAGAATCCAGCTGTATATTCACATGCATATTGTTATATAGTCGACGAATCTTTTCCTCTAACGGCTACTTTTTATTTAATTAAATTTGCATTCTACCCTCAATTTCACCTTAATCCCAATCACACCCCAATTAACTTTTTAAATTCCACATCTGTCATTATTAAACTATCAATTCCAAACTTCGAAGTTCAAAGGTCATTCACATATTTTATTTTTATCTGATATTATTGAATGGTTGAAACACTTCTAGATGATATTTTGTTGCTGTTATCTAAAAAGAATTCAATTTATATTTTTTGCATAAAATTTAAAAAAAACTCTTAATGTGAACACATTTAGAAAGATTGTGAATCAAACACTACATCAGTATTGGAGGAAATTTTTAAAGATTTTATTTCTGGACCAAACTTCGGTTTTATACTTGTCATTTGTAATTTTTTCTAATGTAAACTTAATAATTGAGTCCGTGAAATGTGGAATCCTCGGAAAGCAAAATATTAAACAAAAGTATTGGGCTATAATTACAAATAACAAAACTTAGAGGGTAAAAATTGAAAGTTCCAAAGAAAAGATACGCACGTTAATCCAAGCATATAAAGAACAGAGCCCATGTATAGTGTGTGCCCACATTCCGATAAGCGTGGCGGGTAATTTCACTGCGATTCTTTTCTCACAATCTTCTCGTCAGCTTCACCGACTTCCGTCGCCGACAAGGGCTTGTCTCAGAGTCCGTCTGTTTGTTTTCATTGCCTTCGAATCTCCCAGTTCCGTTGTTTGTGGTTCCTTATGATGGATTTGAGGAACAAAGTTGGGTTTTTTCGGACAAATCTCCGGTTACGTTCATCTGGGTTGTCTGAAAGTTGCTGGATTTTGCCCGAAAATTGAATCCGGGAGCATAAGTTTTCTGATTTAGGGGTTATGTCCATCCGGGTTGTCTGAAAGCTGCTTGATTTTGCCCGAAAATTGAATTCGACGGCACAAGTTTTCTGATTCAGGGGGTTATGTTCATCTGGGTACTCCGAAAGTTGATTGCTTTTGTCGGAAAATCGAGTCCGAGAGCGTAGCCATAGCTGAATATCATCAATGAGCATGCATGAATTGGGAGGGAATACTGAATGTTGTGGGAGATGAACTCGAACTCTGAGACAGATTGTTGTTGCTGTGGATGTCGGTGCCTTTCGTTTTTGAATTTGAAAAATGTATCATTGATTTGAGAACTCCTCTCTGGTCTTCCGCCATGATCGAAACCCACAATCCGAATCGCCATTTTCTGGCAGAGGAGGAGGCCGCCGTTGGAATCCATTTCTTCAACTTCTTTGGTGCAGTTGTGAATCCCTAAAACCATGTCTATGTTTTTTAGAAATGCATTAATTACTTTGAGAAATATGGCTCGAATAAGTTCTCTTTTTGCTCCTTTTTTTTCCCCATCAAATTGTATTTATATTATTCGTTTCCTTTTTCTAAATTTGTTTCTGTTGCTTTTTGACTTTGAGATGCAATATTTTTTTTTTAAAAAAAAGTGATTAATCATCTACAAAATGAAAAGGCATTAAGCGAGATTTTCGGAGGATCATATTTTTTTCTCCGAGAATCTGATATTTATTTATCAATGCCCCATGTGTGTCTCTCGGCTACATTCACACCTTACGTATGTGCTCTGAATCTGAAAGGAAATGCTGCACCATTGACTTTCATGGTCAGAGAAATTAGAAAGAAAAAAAGTTTATATCTTTTTAATTATAAACAATTTTGTAACGCTAGTGGTATTTATTTGTAGATCCATCATCAAAACACGAGATTATTAATCAACTAAATAATCTCTCCCATTTATTGATTTCGTTTGTGTTCGTCATTTTGATACTTGGATTCACAACCACAAAAAGGGTTATAGTATTGAATTAGAACATCTATGCTCAAAGAAGTTTCAATTCTCTCATCAAAGTTGTGATTTAAGTTAACTAAACAAAGACAGAAATAACTTTCGGGCAAGAAATCAAAATGTTTTTGTCTGTTTCTCTAAACCAATCCACCCCACGATAATAAGAGCATATTACAAAAAGGCAATTAACCCAAGAGCTTAACAAAGAACAATAAGGAATACGACCAAATCAGCAAAAGATTGAATCTTTTGAGGATTTCGATTTCATTCGTTAGTAAAACTTCATCACAGACTTCTTGCCATTGGCGTCGCCTCTCGCTCTCCGGCTTCCACTCATTGGCGTCAAGTAAAACCTCAGCATTCCGTTGTTCCCGTCGGCCCTCTTCTTTCCGTTGAGGTATCCACCATCCGCATTGCTCCGGCGGAACCCTCCGGCGGAGCTTCTCCAACTCACACTGCTATTGCTCCTCATCATCCTCGGATCAAACCCTTTTCTCGCGTCCCCATTCCACGACCCTGAGAATGTTCTCTCGATCCGGGATCTTCCCCTGCTGCTGCTGAATCTCTCTGTATCGTCTTCTTCTTCTTCTTCCTCGCATTTATTCCCATTCTTCCTGTGAATCAGCCCAAATATGTTCCAACTCCATCGCTTGGATTTCTTTGTCGCCTTCTTGTTATCCACGTTCCCTGCATTTTCCCGGAAACCCACCTCGAAATTCTCCACGGAGCAGTCGTCTCTCAAGGAATTGGACTGTGACTGTGAACGTGAATACAAGTCCTTGGGGTCTCTGTCATGTAAAGGCGAGACCTTGGCGTTTGAAACCGTTTTCACTTCGTCGATTTCGGCCGCCACGACGCAGGCCGCCGTCTTCCTCACGGAGCTCGAACGGTCGAGGCTTTTCCGCCGCCGAGAAGACGAGTCCGAGTAGTACTCCCGCGTCTGCGCAGACCCACCAGGGGTATTTTCGTCCATCACCGGCTGTTCTTCCACCGGAACATGCGTGTCTGATCG